GTTATCTCTCTCATAAAACTTGTTACACTGAATTGTAATTATCTGTTAATCGTGTGTAAGCTCCTCCTGGAGGGTGGGATTCCTGCCTTATTCACACTCACCCCTAGTAACTAGCACAAAGTCTGGTATATAGTAGGCAGTCAGTTAAGTGCTCCTGAGATGGGGGCTTAAAAAAACAAAAAAACAAAACAAAACAAAACAAAAAAAAAACCTGTTTCCTCTGCCTCTGCCCCTGAACCATTTCTCCCTCCAAAGACCCAGGAATATCCTTCAATTAGGGCAGAATTTCAGAACCAGGGCAGTTAAAGGTTGGTCAAAGAGAACACCTAGACATAGGGGAAGAAAATTTAGTATAGCAGATCGACATAAAGTCTAATCTAGAGCATTGTTTAGACACATAAGGTAATGAATACAGGGAAACTTGCTATAAAGAAATGGTTCACAGTAGCAATCTCAGCACAGCAAATCCTAAACTCTGAGAAACATAGCACATGTAATGGCTATAATGAACAAAATTTCCTTCAACCAACAGTTGGAAATCCCACCCATGGCCAGGTATTAGTAAAAGTCTTTTGCTTTTAGAGAAAAAGGCTGGTTTTGAAAACATTTTCCTTTATTTTCATAATACAACAAACACAGCTTGCCCTGCCTCATGCAAGCTTATTGCATGTTTGTTTTAGCACTTGACTAAAATTAAGGGTCTGCCCTGTCATTATATCACTTTTTTTAAACAGTAACACAAAAATAAAATAAATTATAACCTAAATCCATGAATGCAGTAAAATAGTTCTCTTTCATTTCTGGAAAAAAAATAATTAGAATTTTACATGGACTTCAGTGTTAAAGTTTCTATAGCACTGATTAGATGACAGGGACATGCAAGTATTAAGACAATTTTCTCTGACCCAGTCCCACAAGTTAATAATACAACTACAACACTGCTTTGAAATCATACTAACCTGCTAAAAAATGCCAAGGAGTTTAAATAAAATCATCACCATCGCCACACCACCCCTCCACTTCCCCCACCAAAAGTGTGTCCTAAAATGAAGTGTACTAACCTTGGGCTTCTCCAACTTAATTAACTTAATTTATTAAACATGCCAAACTCAAGTTCCCTTGCAGAAGATAAAACAAACTTCTGGGAATATCATTCATTCAAATTGAATTCACAAGGTAATTGAAAGAAATTCGGCCAGCTTCTTTTTCTTTTTCTTTTTTTTTTTTTTTTTTTTTTTTTTTTTACTTTTTTGAGATGGAGTCTCACTCTGTCTGCCCAGGCTGGAATGCAATGGCACAATTTTGGCTCACTGCAACCTCCACCTCCCGGGTTCAAGCAATTCTCCTGCCTCAGCCTCCTGAGTAGCTGGTATTACAGATGCCCAGCACCACACCCGGCTAATTTTTTGTATTTTTAGTAGACACAAGGTTTCACCATATTGGCCAGGCTGGTCTCAAACTATTGATCTCAAGTGAGGTCCACCCGCCTCAGCCTCCAAAGTGCTGGGATTACAGGCGTTAGTCACTGTGCCCAGCCTCTTCTTTTTCCTGTCTGTCTCCTGGGTACCCTAGCATCTCCAGATTTAAGAGCAATTCAGAGACATCCAAGTCAGTTCCACCTCTGACATGCAACTGAAAACCGATGTATATCCTCCTGTGACACAGAGGTACTGGGGAGCACATGTGAACCTACAGAGCTCCTGAATACCTCTCCCAAATGGATCCCACAGAGTGAAGATAATAAGTTAAATGCTTTAGCTCTAGGGATTTAAAATATATAGAAAGCAAGTTACTTCTACTGGAAGTTAAACTTAAAGAATTCTCATCGTTATGTCATCTCTCACTGCAGTACCCAGGGTGCTACTTGGTTTCCCCCTCTCTCTCCTTCCCTCTACCGCCTTGCCCTATCATTTACAGACGCATTAATGCCAGTTTCAAACTAATAATAATTTTTTTTCTTCTGTGCTGCAAATATCCAACCACTGTGGTTAAATACCATGTATAACATAAACAAGGTCAAGAATGCCAGTTGCCAGAAGAGTCATGTTTAAATTAGCATTAACCAGCAAGCCCTTCCCTAAACAAAAAAGAGAGAGGGGAAAAAAAAATGTTTTCTTGGACAGCTCTGTGCTTGCAGAATGACTTCAATCCCACATGTTCAAAAGGCTCCACAAGGTCCAGCTGTAACACAATAGCATCATTAATTTTTACTAAATTAAATTTCTCAAAAGTACAAAGCACTATCAATTTGCGGGGAGTGGGGAGGAAGAAACCACTTATTAGTTTATTCTACAACCTTTATATAATTTGAGTAAACTGGCAATAGTGTCTTAAAACCTAGCAGCCATAAGTTACACGGATTGCAGTGGAATAAAAGCCCAGTCCTCCGTCCATCATTGCACCCCTCACTCTGCCCCAATATGTGTTATTCAGTGTCTTTCCACATCTTGAGGTTACATAATACTTCCTCCTCGCCTCCCTATCCCCATGTAGCACAACTCCCCCACAATTTGTCCCTTTGTAACTTTCCAGCCTTCATCACCCCACACTCTCACTTCGTCTTCCTTACCCCACCATTCGTCTTTTAAAAGATACGTTATTCTTCAAGCCACATTTATAAAGTCGTCCCCTGAATCAAAACGTAATTCTCCATTCCCTGGCATGACAAAGTTCTTGGACTCTACAGCTACCACCCAGCTACACAACATTGCACATACTATTCAAATTCAATGACATAAACCTGAGGCTCGCTGCGTCTTTCCCCCCCTGCGTGCAGTTCTTTCTGGATCTTCCTTTTCACCATCCTTGCGTCTACCACATGGAAGAGATTCAGTAACTGTTTGCCTGAAATAAAATCACCTCCTTTTTCTCCCAACTTTCTAAGACATCCATAATAGTTTTCCCTAAGTTTTTTTTTTTTAAGAGACAGTCTCTCTCTGTCACCCAGGCTGTAGTGCAAGGCACAAATCACAGCTCACTGCAGCCTTGAATCCTGGACTGAAGCCATCCTCCCTCCTCCGCCCCCAAGTAGCTGAGACTACACGCACATGCCACCATTACCCAGTCAATGTATGTTATTTTTTGTAGAGAACAGAGCTCACTATGTTGCCCAGGCTGGTCTCAAACTCCTGTGCTTCCAAGTGATCCTCCTGCCTCAGCCTCCCAAACTGTTGGGATTAGCAGGCATGAGCCACCACACCTGGCCAAGGATATTTAAATAAGAGGTAACATGACATGTAAAAAGAAAACACAAACCAGTAGTAGACTGACTTAGGCCAGAGAAGAACTATTGGACTTTAAACCAAGAGCTATGTTTAAGTTTTTATTACATCACAGTTCGGCTTTTAAAATAAATACGG